AATCCAAAATCCATACTCATTAATTGGAGTTGAGGGAACCGAATTTATTTCTTGGCTATCGAAATTATTATCATTCCAAGATTGACCATTTTTCCAAGCATTCTCACATTTCTGTTGAACATCTTGCTCCCATTGCGTATTTGAATCTTTAATAATGTTCCAAGGGGTTTTTGTGGAATGCCTTCTAACATAAGGAGGCTTTCTGATATTTTCAGGACGTTTTGCACGTCGTTCATCCCGACCATTAGGATGATAACCGTTATCTGCGAAACCAGGATCACGGTAAGGTAACGAGAATGAACGAGGAGATACAGTATTGAATTTTTGATATGGAGTCGTATTTGTGCTGCTAGGAGATATGGTTAAAGAATTTGAACGTTCTGGTGTACCAAAACAATTAATTTCGTCCTTGTTTTTAGTACGCCATGAAAAGTTCTTCCTTTTATAAAAAGGTGATGGTGGAGGGGAAGCATAAGTCACATCATCATCATAATCATTTCCACCACGTGGTGATTTTATCGTCAGCGGAGATTGTGACCTAATACTCCGTTGACGTGGAGAAAGAGGACGTTCACAAACATCATCAAAAAATAGAGGTTCTCTAGTCACTTTTTCGGCCTCCATCCCACTTCCAACCGTATCACTATAAAAAATAATGGATTTTTAATGTACAAGTTATGTCATTAAAACAAATATATTTACAAATACATACGCTAGCAATTTTCGCAAGCGATTATAATCCGGTTCTTCATCATACTGTAAACTTCTCGTATATTGAAGATAGAGCATAAATCCTCTTGGAAGGCCGTCATATAATTCCTCTAATGGGATTTCCTCTTTTATCTTTAACATCTTTGCCCACCCTTGACGTGAATTACGTGCGGTAACTCCAGCCCAAGGAAGATCACCTCGTAATAATTCTAGCAAAACATAACCTAGAGACTCCATATCGTCACGACGAGAGTGCTCTATTTGAATGTAATGAGTATCAATAAAAAAAAAAAGAGTAAAATCAGATATAAATTAGATAATGATGAATTAATTACTTACGAAGTCCCTTGTGAACACTTAGAGAAGCGTAACGAGCTGTTCCAGTTTTATTCTTTGTCAAATGTTGATTTTTTGGAATATGCTTTCCGGTTTCATGATCTAAATAGAACGAAGATAACCCTAAAAACGTATGAAATAGTTAAACATAAGATAGATTATTTCATAATAAGACTTTAACATTCAAATATTCCAATATTTACCAAAATCCACGATACTAATATGGTGTTTTCTGCTGACCAAAAGCTTTAGATCCTTAAGCTTTGCTTCGGATGCATCATCGTCAGAATCAAATGCGGCAAGCCGACTTATTTGTAACGGAAAGTTTTTTTCTAGAAGAAAGTTATCGGGCTTAACGTCCCTGTACACAACACCTTGTTTATGTATGTATTCTAATATCGTTACCTGAAAGATTACAAGTAAAATATTAGAAAAAATAAAACTGTATAACAAATTTAAAAAATAGGAAAATTTTAAAAATACCATTTGCTGAGCCACGTCACTAACGAAATGTACAGGAAGTTTTGCATACGCTTTTCGTAGTAATCTCAGGTTGGGCCCAAATAAATCAATAATCATGGCATTATATATGCCTTCTGTTCCAAACCAATGTACAGTTGGTATGAAACCTTACATAAAAACGCATTTTAATAAAGATTTCAATAAATAGGAAAATAATAATAATAATAATAAATAATAATTGCATAGCATTAAACATACTCGCTCCTTTAAGTAGCTTGAGCACTTCAGCCTCATGCGGCAGTTGAGGATGAGCAACTTCAATTGATTCTCGCTTTATCGCATATCGTTCATTGGTTTTCGTGTGCACGGCTTTTAATAAAAATAAAAATAAAAAATAAAATAAAATAAAATGGTCAGTACATGTATGAATGAGAGACATTCAATCGAAGACAAAAAGTCAAAAAGATAACAAATGGTTATAAAGAATTGACCATATAACAATTCATGCACTTTTCGAGAAAGAAAGATACAAACACGAAAAAAAAAATTCGATACGAAACAAAATCGAATAAAGTAGAATACATACCTCGAAAGACCTCACCGAAAGACCCCTCTCCGATTTTTTCTTCGACTAACCAATATCCACCCACGACTACGTCGCCTCCCATTATTATGGACTTAATAATGAAAAAGTTGCGAGAGTGCGAAAGGTAAGCAAACCGCAAATAGGCGGAGATTGGTCTTTCAAATTAAAATCTTTGAGAGTTCGACTGGAGAAAGTCAATCGAGCTTCAAAGTTAACGTGATGATAGAGAAGGGAATGAAATCAAGACTAAGAAAAGGTTGGGTTTTCTTGCTGATAGAAAAGGTTTTATTTAACCAGCGAACTAAAACTGAGGGTGAAGGGGATTGTTTGTGTGTGTAGTGAAAAGAAGCAACAACTCAAGCACACGGAGAACTTGTGCTTTGGTTTGAGAATCAGCACAACTGTTTAAAGGGCTTGAGCAAGCACAGCACACAACTGAGTCTACACTCTGTTTATTCTGTCGTCAGTGTTTTAAAAAGAGGTGGGAAAAAATGGGCAGAGCGAAAACGATAGAATGTATGCGGGCAGGGGGTGACAATGTGACATTTGGTGATACGGTACGACGCAAGTTAAAGAAAAGAAACAGCGGATATTTTAATAAAGATCATAGGATTATAGGGCGTGGGACTATTTACGAAAAAGAACCAAAAAGCAAATCCGGGGGACCATTTATACAATAATAAATAATCCACACCAATCAATAGAATTCGTGATCCTAGTCCTGACAGACTTAAACAAATAAGGTATACGAAAACCTAATGCTCTATGCAGATCCCAAGTAACGAATTTTGCAACCGAATTTTACAAAAGGATTTAAATATGTAATAATTATCACCTGAAACAAGAAAATATAAGCACTTGTCGACGATGATGCCTTTTATTAGAATTGTATCACAACCCATGTAAGGCATACACGACAAGCCATCGAGAGACCAAAAACTGTAGCACAAGTAAGGCATTTTTTTCCAAATTATTCCTTGGAACACCAAAATCCAAATTTTAAATTTTCCAATTTAAATAAATCATAGATGCAACTTTAGAATTGTGAAGTTACCTAAGTTACTTATCAATCTCGGAATGATAATAATTTCGATAGCCAAGAAATAAATTCGGTTCCCTCAACTCCAATTAATGAGTATGGATTTTGGATT